AAGCGCGGTTTTGCATTTTCGGCTGGCAGTCGTAACTTTAAATGTTACTGTTACAACAACAACCGCACGTACCCTTTACTTGATTAAATGTGAATGTATTATTGAATAACCATCTGCCATGTTGGTGGAGGTGAATTGCATCCTTCTGAGTCAGTCCGTTTTGTATGACCATACCTCGCCGATTCTTCATGCACCATCACAGCGAAATTCCACGTTGCCCCCTCCCCCGCACTGTTTGTAAATCGTCGGCGACTAGCTAGCGTTTCTCTGCTGATTGCACATAAGCGAGTTTTGGCTAATTTCATGCTTAATGCAGTATTGTCTTTGCAACCGCTGTAGCTGAATTCCTTTTCTACGTGCCACGGTGGCCAAAACACTGGTGGTATGACCCCAACCTCGGTTCATTACTTGTTGCCGGCTACTTTGCATTTCACTAATTCTAATACCTTAGCTTCACCGAACATTATGTTTGAGTAGTACGTCATTTTGACTGCCCGAATCATTAATCTATATAGCCCCTAACGTGTATTTTGTGTGATGTGTGCTGAAAAATATGGTCATGTTTCATATATTGACACAATACAATACACGTAAACATAAGCTTCTGAGCTGAAAAGCGGACTCATTAATTGGTCCCCAGTTAATTAACCGTTCTGTCTAAAGTTGGAGCTCCATTACAGGACTTAAACAACAGGAAACATGAAACACGAGACATTAACTGAACTGTTGAATTGATCTTGTGATCTTTCTCGCACATGTCACATTTTATGCAGTTTCCGTGTCAGTCTCAGAAATGGCCTATTCGCACGGTAGCTCGTAACTCCGCCATCACTGTCCAAAGCCCGGCTGAGAAGGTAGGAGGATTTTGGGCCGTGATGAAGACTCCTCTGTGGTCTTGCATCCATTCACTGCAGGTAGGATTCACTATGCTGCAATCTCATTCAGAGAATGAACTTTCGGATCCTTATTTAGATGCGGAGGCGGATCACCAAGAAGTGAATAATTTTTCTAAGGCATGTTTCAGTGAAAATCAGGTGCATGAAACAAGTAAAGTGCAGTGATAAGTGCATAGCTTCAAAAAACTGAGTTGATGCCATTAGGGACTGACTCATCGGTTGCAAGTTAATATTGGGTGTTCGTTTAAACCTTTTGCTCGGTATTAACTTACGATATATGCATAAAACGTAAGCAGGACTCTGGCGAATACGGAATTACATGGTTGGTGACCACGGTATTATCACGCTTGTCTTCATGTAGTTTAAAGGAACTGAAACTGCTGCCAGTCAGTTGGACAACCGTATCGATGATTCTGCTCGGCAGAGAGGGGCACCGAGGATTTGAACATTACACGCCGATCAGTTAGTTACCCATTATCCGCAAGATACTTCACGAACTTACTAATGAGCATACATCAAGAAATACAGAACGCTGGGTAGTTGAAGGAGCAAGGAGGTTTCAGAAGTGAATTTAGTAGATGAACAATCCTGTACAGGAAGTGCAACAAGTAATTAGAAGGAGCAAAGAATATCGTTTTCCTTCGCATTTGGCGTGTGTCGGTTTCGAGAAGTCTTTCAACTCAGTTTGCATCCGTTAAGTGCTGAATTGTTGAGGAGTGAGCGAATCGAGAAAATATGCATCGCCATGATTTACCAGAATACGTCTGCTAGTGTGAAGCTTTACTAAACCACTGGCACGTACAAAATCATAATGTGCATCCTACACGGTGCTGCGCTAGCACTGAAGCTATTAATATTGGCTTTGGATGAGGTTCTTAAGATGCGCCATTTGTAAAATCAAGGACTGTGGATAAATGGACATTACTTAGTGCTTGTGGACAACATTCTGAGAC